ATGTTTTTTTTTTAAAAAAAAAAAAAAAAAAAAAAAAAAAACAACAAAAAACCAAAAAGAAGTTGACAGTTTACATTTTTAATAGCAATGTGACTATTTCTGAATGGCAGCAGTATATATTACATGAAGTGTGAGAGGGTTAAATAGGACAGCCTCAACTCTTTATAAACTTTTGCCCTCTGGATATGTACTCATTGGCTGCTGTACAAGACTCGAGCTGTATTACACGCCTTAACGATATGGTTCAACTGTCGGTCAGGCTCGGGGCCTGGCAACGGGCCAGACCGCAATCAATGGGACACAAACCTCCCCCTTTCAGATCATCACGAAGGCTCATATTATCTCCTTTTTGTCGTGCTGGTTAAATTTATGGAGCAGAACCCCGAAGCTGCATTCCTTGGCCTGGGCCGGCCCACGCGGGCCTCCCTTTGTTTGGTACTGTAAGCGAGGCGTGCTTTGGAGGATTGCAGGGTTGTTAGTTCAGGCACTGACTGTTTGCTCATGACTGAAATGAAAAGAGTTCAGTGGAAGGGCAAAAGGACAGCACAAGTGTAAAACCCTATCCCAGCAGGCCCTGGGCTCCCATATACAGACTCTGGACCAGTACTGAACATAAAAAAGCCCCAAACTTGCCGTTAATGACAAAAGGAAAATTCTCTGTCCGGTAACTGAGGAACGGGCTAACCAGTAATTTAGCGTCATGCCTTGCCAAACTGCCATTTACCTTTAACCAAATCTGCATTATTGAACACAGATGGATGTGAACGAATGCAGCATAGCGTGCTAATTAGGAGGAATATTCTTTAAAACGTGGCTCTGCTTTTTACAACCGAACAGAAAATCTCTGCAGTGCAAACGCTGTCACCTGGCCAACAGCATATTTTAATGGGCCTAAAAATGACCGATTTAAAATTGTGGAGGATCTCCAGGAACAATGATGTGGTGGTCTTTATTCTTCACTTTGCAGAAAACAGTACTTGTAACATAATAGTACTTGATGTGCCTGTCTAAGGAGGAGATACTTGGGAAGCTGTTTCAAAAGGCAGGACCGTAGGCTCTCTTTGCCTGCACCTACCCCGTTCATCCCAACTCCACAATGAGGACAAAAGTCTCATTAAGATTCATTTTTTAAATTAAGTTTGAAAGTTTAGTTCAATGGACTCCAGGCTAGCACTGCATTTTACTTCAAGGAAGATGCAGCTAAAAAGCCCCTGCCAGTTCTTATATATGCTGAAAACAGACAGCTGAAAGAACCAGCCAATTCCCAACAGCCATAAAATCCTTTGTTGTTACTTATACTACACTAGAGGCCAAAAGCTGCTAGAGAGATTTGGGTCCAAATGTGCTAGGTGTTGAATAAACCCAAATAGTTTCCCATCCTATCCCATCCCATAAGCTTCCATGTCTTCTTTAAGCTCCAAAGCACCCTTTCCCATTCTCTTCCCTATAAATACTCCATCTTCCTCCTGAGGCTTTTCACCCGCACCCCCGCAGTGACACACACTGGTTCCCCTCTGTTGCCTTATGTCCCCTTTCAATGCATTCACTTGTTCAGGCTCCCCTGCACTGCCTTCACTTCCTTCTGTGCCCTCTCATTTCCATTTCACCTGCCATGCGTTGTCCCATCTTGTCTTCTTCAAAAGTTCCTCACTCCAAAACCATGGAGCACTGCTCCGCGATCACATAAAAAGGGGGCAAGTCTTCCACTCCTCCAAATGCGCTGTCATTCTACATATTGCTCCCCCTTGCTCCATGTTACGCCACATTTCTGCTTTATTACATTTCAAACAAAGCTCTTGCTTCCACATGTGCTTCGTGTCAAATAGTGATCCTGTTGTATTAGGAAAGTTGATAGCGAGGTAGGAAAAATACAGCCCACAGCTCTGGCTCCAGCCACCGCATGGTGCCAGGTGGGCAGGGCTGTTTCCACCCCGCTAGGTGAGTGGGTGAGACTGCTTCCACCCAGCTGCAGACCCGGGTGGATGCCCCAATTGCCACCTGGAACCTGTCGGCTGAGTCCATGGTTGATGCCGGTGCCTGCCTGGGGCTCCTTCCACCATGCTGTGGACGGGGCTGGCTCCAGGGAGGGGAAGGGAGAGGGAGCAGGAGGAAACCAGAACTCATTGTGTGTCCCTCCAGCCAAAATAAATTTGCCCATCCCCGTTTTATACCCATCGATAGCACTGGCATTTTAAGCCTCACAGCAACTCGGCCCTCTTTCTGCCAGCGAAGAAAAACCCAGGAAGAGAACCAAGGAGAGACATCGGGAATTTCTAGGCTAAGGGATCTTGGAGAGATGTTCAACTGAAGAAAGGTCAGAATTTTTTTTCTCATTGTTTTGCAACCCTCATCAGAAAAAAAGGTCTGCTTGAAGATGACACATGGCACTGGGAAGTTCCCGTATTATTTATTCAGTATGATTTTTCTGATCAACAGGACAGATAAAGAAAAACCCCACCCTTTAAAGTATTTCAAATTTTATGCTAAAAACAAAAAGCAAAGCCCAACACTTCGTGGCCAAGTATGCTACAAATAAAATCAGGTTATTAAAATACATGCCACTAAATTCTATGGACAGTGGATCCTGTTTTTAAACTTTCAACATTCACTACACAGGAAGGCTAAAATGTCAGCACAGTGTTTCAACATATTTGGTGGGGGATAAGAGTGCATGGTTTTGTACAAGTGCTAACAAACGTCTTCTCATCACAGAGCAGGGAGGGGGGGAAAAAAGAAAAAGCATGCTTGGATACTCTCAGATGCTTTTGCAAGTAAAAGCTTTCTTGTTGCTGGACCAAAAGAAACTTTCTGATAAAAGAACATCAAGTAAAGGGTGTTGAGAATCTTTTATGATGCTGAGGAGCAAAACAACTCAGACTGGAAATGAATGGAAAGAAGAGTGAAAGACGTTGTTCCAAATGCACAGACCAAAGGACGCATGTAGAAAACCAACCCGAAAGTCTAAAACAAATAAAAATATTACTATCTCTTTCCATGACTAACATGGAAACGTGTTGCTGTTTATGCTTGTTTGCCTGCGTCTCTCCCTCTCTGTTTCCCACAAATGGGCACCCTCTTACTTATTTCTCAACATGGCCTATAATTTCTAGATCTGCTACACATAATTTAAAATTACCTGCATATTGTGTTTAACCTTTTCTTGTCTTTGATCATTATAAGAGAGGACTAGCAGAGCTAACTTCCAAGAAAGTTACCCTAGATCTACTGCACCAGACTCAAACCCTTTGGCACAGAAACAATATATTTCTGGACACTAGGTAATAAAACCACTGCATTGGCAAGTGGTGGATAGCTTTTGTGCTATTTTATTTATAAATAAAATGTATTTTTATTGCATTTACATCAGTTTAATCTTTTTACCTATTTTAATAAAATGAAAACACTAAAAGCATGGCCAAAAGTTATAACC